GCCTTGCTATTTGTGGCATATCCAATGAATACACAATCTACAGTCTTAGGCCCTATTTTCACCCTCTTAGGTAGAGGAACTTGGACTTTGGCTAGACACCCCCACATGTTGAAATATTTAAAGTTGAGTTTTCTACCTTTCCATTTCTCATATGGAGCAACATGTGCCTTGGTGTGAGGCACTCTATTGAGTATTCGATTTGCTGTAAAGATAGATTCCCCCCACAAGTTTTGTGGTAAACCTGAACTTATAAGTAAGGCATTCATCATCTCCTTTACAGTTTGGTTTTTCCTTTCCGCAATTCCATTAGATTGAGAAGAGTAAGGAGCAGTAGTTTGATGGATGATTCCATTTTCCAAATATATTTCTGCAAATGGAGATTCATATTCTCCACCTCTATCACTTCTGATCATTTTGATCTTTTTATCCAACTGATTTTCAACTTCAGTTTTATATTGTCTAAATGCATCTATTGCTTCATCATTACCATTTAGCAAATAAACATAACAATATCTAGTGCAATCGTCAATAAAAGTTATGAAATACTTTTTCCCACCACGTGATGGTGTTGACTTCATGTCACAAATGTCAGTGTAAATCAGTTCTAAGGGGTATGAATTCCTTTCAACAGATATATAAGGATGCTTAGCATACTTAGATTCAACGCAAACTTGACATTTTAATTTATTGCACTCAAATTTAGGCAAAACATTTAAGTTAATCAGTTTTCGCAAGGTTTTGTTATTGATGTGTCCCAAACGTTCATATCATAAACATTTAGACTCAAGCAAGTAAGAAGAAGCAGAATCTTTATTTATATCAACTGCAATTACATTGAGTTTGAAGAGGCCCTCAGTGAGGTAACCTTTTCCTACATACATCTCATTCTTACTGACTACAACTTTATCAGAAACAAATACACATTTGAATCCATTATTGGTAAGAACTGGTAGAGAAACTAAGTTCTTTCGCAATTCTAGAACATACAAGACCCTGTTCAAAGCCACCACCTTGCCCGATGTCATCTTCAAGTGGACTTGCCAGTTCCTTCAACCTTTGTTGCAGCAGAGTTCGCCATAAATAACTTCTCGTCTGCTGGTGCTGGAGTATATGATGCAAATAATTCTTTGTTGGCACAAATATGGCATGAGGCACCAAAATCTATCCACCATTCTCTTGTATTTCCAACCAAGTTGCATTCTAAAAGCATTGCACAAAGATCGTCCATCTCTTCTTTGGATTCAGTCAAATTTGCTTGATTCTTCTTCTTGTCCTTCTTGGGACCCTGACATTCAGTAGCCCTATGACCACGTTTGCCACAATTTGAAACAGTTTTCATTGAATTTCTCCTTAGGAGGATTGCTCTTTGGACCAGATGTTTTCTTTATTTTCTTTGATTTTGTGAGATCTTCTTAAACAATATTTACTCCAGATATTGTTGAATTACCACGTGACCTCTTTTCTGCGGCCTTGTTATCCTCTTCGATTCTCAACCTTACCATGAGATCATCAACAGTCATCTCCTTGCGTTTATGTTTCAAGTAGTTTTTGAAGTCCTTCCCCAACGGTGGTAACTTCTCAATAATGGCCGCCACTTGAAAATCATCATTCACAATCAATCCTACATTAAAGATTATGTGAGTATTAAGAATAGACTTAATATGTTCAACATAGGTATTAAATAAATTTATATCTTCAGCAAGGAGATCATGGATTATGACCTGCAGTTTTTGAACTTGGGTGACGACGGTCTTACTGTTTATCATCTTATAGTCCAAAAACTTTGCCACAATGAACTTCTTCATTCCGGCATCCTCTGTTTTGTACTTCTTTTCTAGAGCATCCCAAAGTTCTTTTGTGGTCTTGACACTATTGTACACATTGTACAGATCATCTTGCAGGTCACTTAGAATATAGTTTTTACACAAAAAATTTGAATGTGTCCATGCTTCTGTCACCAAGAATTGTTCTTCGGTCGAAGTTTCATCTGACATAACAGGAACATTCTCATTAATGAACCTCTGCAGACTCAACGTAGTCAGAAAGAAGAACATCTTCTGCTGCCATCTCTTGAAGTCGACTCCAGAAAACTTTGCAGGTTTCTCTTGCAGGGCAGCAATTGAACGATTGCAACTATTATTGCATCTAATTTTTTCAATACATTTTATAATTGTTTAATTTTGTCTTTGATTCCTGTTTGATACAATAATTGCAAATTTGCTATTGAGATTGAAATTTACGTATTGAATTATTGGATTTTGGACTATTATGTGTAGATGTTCTAGAATTTGACATAATGGAGATGCTGAGAAGAACGAGATGTTGTGGTATTAATTGTGAGAATATATTTAGGTTATAAGATACATAATTAAGAGTTTGCATTGGAAGAGATAACTTATTGTTTTGTAAAATAATGTTGTGCACAATATGTTATTGAAGGCAGTATTTTTTTTAAAAAAATTTAACTATTTGGTTGAAGAAAATGGCTAAGAGCTTATTCTAGCAACTAGCTAGATATATAGCACGGGGTCCAATATATATTACTCTTTGTGTTTTAATTTATTTATGTGATATATGTGGAATTTGAAGTTAACCAATTTCTTAACATGTTTTTATATATTAGAGTCAACCAATTTTTTTTAATATATATATATATATATATATATATATATATATATATATATATATATATATATAGAGAGAGAGAGAGAGAGAGAGAATTTTTTAAGTTGCTAATTATTGTGATTTATAGTATTTTTTTACATAATTTTCATATAATATATATTACTCCTTTTGTGTTGATCATGTGATACAAATGAAGTTTCAAAAGTCAATCATTTTTTTTTATAAATTCTTTTTGATATTTAAGGTATTAATTACTGTGGTTTACAATATATTTTATGTATTTTATATAATATCTCTGTCTCTTTATCTCAATTTATGTGGTATAAATGAAATTTTGAGAGTTAACAAAATCTTTTTATATATTTTCAAATATTTTGAAGCTATTAATTATTATGATTTATAAAGTGATAAAAGACAAATTTAAAAAACGAAAACTTTAAATTGTCAAACTACCCCTGGCTACAAGCAGACATGTTGAAACTTGAGAAGTTATTCAAAATTTTATATGATTTTTAAAAATATTTTAAGTTATTAATACTGTGATTTATAATTTTTTAAGCGATTTTGAAGTAATATATATTATTTCGTTCTCCCAATTTATACGGCATAGATATAATTTCAAAAATAAATTATTTTTATATCTTTTAAATATTTTTAATTTTTAATTATTATAATTTGTAGTACCTTTTACGTAATTTTTAAATAATTTTTGTTACTTCTCATATCCCAATTTATGTGGAATTGATATAATTTCGAGAGTTAGCCAATTTTGTTTATATCTTTTAAATTTCGAAGTTGTTAATTATTGTGATTTATATACTTTTTATGTCATTGTCAAATAATATATGTCATTTCCCCTAACCCATTTAATGTGTCACACATATAATTTTGAAAGTCAAATGTTTTTTTTAATATTAATTTTAAATATTTTAACTTATTAATTATTGTGATTTAAAGTATTATTACTGTAATTTTCAAATATATAACAGGCTAAAAAAGAAATGTAAGACAAAATTAAAAGGAAAAAAGTGTAGAATTAATGGTCAATTAATGTGATGCAAATGAAATTTGAATAGGCAGCTAAGTGTTGTATATATTATTTTTTAAAAATTAAGTTGTTAATTATTGTGACTTATAGTACTATTATGTTTTCAACATCATTTTTATAAATAACATATGTTTCTTCTTTTATCTTAATTTATGTGGCACAATAGAATTTAGAGAGTTAATCATTTTTTTTTATGATTTTTCAATATTTGAATTCAATAATTATAATAATTTATAGTACTTTTTATATAAACTTTAAATAATATATGTTATTTCTTCTATCCTAATTTATGTGACATTAATAGAATTTTGAGTGTTGATAATTTTTTAATACTATTTTTAAATATTAGTAATGAACAATCATATTATCATTTAAATTTAGCCTTAGTAATGAAATATGAAATATTAAATTTTATTAGTTAATTTTATTCTACATGATCTGAAACACAATAACAAAGAGCCTAAAATAACTACAAATGAATACTAAATATGTCTACCAAAAAAAAAAGAATAGTACTAAATATTATTGATGGGATGTGTGGGTCTGAGTAAGTGCTAACATCAGCACTTTTATGCCTTTAAGGCATTGAAAAAAGCCTCACATTTCAATATATTTACCAATATGTACCAAATTACCCGTGTCTAGGAAATTATCAACAAAAGGACACAATAGGAATTAGAGGGAAAAAATCATGAAATGCACAATTCCCAAAGCGAATTGTATAAGCATTCACAGCAAAGTATATAGCAGAATTAGATAGTAACTTACCAAATTACCCATGTCTAGGAAGCAAGCATGTTGACGAACAGCTGCTTCCTAGACTCTTCTATATATTAGTAATTAGTAATTAGTAATTAGAACACGAACTTAGTGTGCTTTGATTTAACTTTTTTTGCTATGTTGTGATATTGTGATGAGGCAACTAGGATCTGTGAAAAATAGCCAGATTGGATTCAGGTGAGAATAATTTTGTATTGGATGTCTTTTAGAATTTAGTAATTACTCGGGGGAAGTAATTATTGGATAATAAGATATACCAACACCATTAATTCATGTCCATCTGTGAAGCAAAAATGCAACAACTGACGGCCACTTTGTGCTCTCTTGTTAATGTTATAACTATTTGAAATGTAACTGCAAAGATTATTTTCTTCATTCAAATGTAAACTCAAGAAGTTATTCACACAATCTAAACTCCATTGTTGATCGAGTATTAGACTTTTTTATTAATCTTGCACGAGTTTGTTTTGAATATGAGAGCATGCATCCCAATATTAGGGGAATTAAAGAAGCTAAGGTAGTTTATGTGTGTTGCATAATGGGGGCATGATGCATCTCGTCAGGCTGTTGGGGTAATTGAATGTCCAAAATCTCTACTCTCCGGTTCATTTTTTTCCTGATTCTTATGGCTATATCTGCCGGATCAAACCGCCCCATTATGCTTATTCTCTTCTCTTGCTTCTCAATCAGATGCATCTCTATTTCTACACATATATAATAGAGTTTAATTTAATTTAGATCCATCAATAAAGAATTATATATGCCAGCTTACCTTTCATTCGTAGAATGATTCTTCTCATTTTCTTGCAACAACAAGGGCAATCTAGATTAACCCGCATCACCATGCATACCTGCTGCGATTATATATATATATCAATTACAATTATAATTATATATGTACGTACGTTCCAAAAATTATATATGATATATATTGGAGTAGTTACCTGTCCTGACATGAAATAAAGGTACAATGTTATGTTTGGACAAAACCTCACTTTTTAGTGATGATATATGAACCTTAGCCTTTTGTAATAATACTAATACTAGCTAGAGGAATCATTCTATTAATTGCTTGGCCCGCTAAGAAGCCTTTGGAATGAGGGTTACGTTACGTCATACCACAATTAGAATTTACTAGGCCTTTTCAAGGGTAGGTGTTACCGAATATTAGATTCATCAAAATTCCATTCTTTTCTTGAACTCAAACCACACCCATTAAGAAATGTGACAAGCTCATTTTACCTAATTCTTACATCTAATTATCGTCATTGTTAGATTAAAAATGTTTAGTTTTGAAATATATATATATAGGACTACTTTAAATCCCATCCATCTCAAATTTAAAGGACCATTTATGTCGTGCTAATATATAACAAGTATATTCCGGGATATGGATCAAATGTAAATGACTTATTAAAGCAAACAAATGAAAGTAACTTTCATATGTCATTTCTGTAACTTGAATGATTGGAATAATCCCAATAGGCATTCAATAGGTAAATATAATCTTAATTGTAGCATAAAGAGCATCCCGATTCTCTGTGTGTGCTTGAGACTTGATAAACGTATTTTGAGCTTAATGCTCGAAATTAAAATTTGACTCAAAAAGCACTTAAAACTTATTAAAGCTTTTGGAATGTCATTCCTTAACCAAATCAATTTTGAATCCTTACCCCTTAATTTTTGGTCTGCTTTCTATTTTTCATCAATGATCCATTTCATAGCTAGGCCAGAAACTATCAAATATTTGATTGATTCCACATGCTTTTAATCGGGTTAGAGGCTAAGGTAAAAGTGATCAAAAATGATAGATGTCTTTAAAGACTTTGGGGAATAACAAAAAAGAAGAAGAGATTACGGGGGTGTTTGTTATGAAGGAAATTATTTTTAAAAAAAATTGAAGTATTTTTTCTACTTATTTCTACTGTTAGATAAATATACATAAAATATTATATAGTATAATTTAAGCCATCAAGGGTGAGGGATTGGGGTCGGATGGTGGAGTTGTTGGGGAAAATACTATAATGTTGATATTAGATTGAAATTATAAAGTAGTAAATAACTTATCACAAACACTGTGTCGTGGCGAGGCACTGCCTTGAAAGTGATTTCAGCTTGACTACGATGCAAATCGTTGTAGCATGTCGCTTCCCAATGTTCCACAGTTACTATCAAACACGTGCCCTCGTGACTGAGAGTTTGAAGGTTGCCCAAAACAAATTGCCCAAAAATATTCTAAGAATAAGAAGGAATGAGGGAAATGTTTTCCTTTCCTTTTTGTTGGTTGTCTTAGCATTCACAAAAGACACTACTTATATAGGAAACTTTTGTAGGAGTTATTGTAGATTCAAGAGTTAATTTTGACAACGCATTGTAAATCTTAATGACATTAAAGACCATTGCATCACATTCTACAGAAACTCTTGTTTTGTTTTGGAACGGAAAATTTATTCTCTTTGTAACATATTTTACTTTGTGTTTCTTTGCATCAATAAATGAATAAGTGAGAATTAATATCACATGAGCAAGAGAGGCTGAAGTAAGTATCAGTACGCAAAGTTACTCATGAAACTTGTTTTTGTTAATTTTGTTAGAGAAGCCAACACACACATATATATATATATTAAAATAAAACAAAATATTTTAATCAGTGCAAAAGATCTTTTAGGCAAATGCTGATGAGCATGATAATCGAAAGATTTAAATCACTGTAAAGGAGTGAGGAATAAGGTACAATGTTTTTAATAAAATTGAATCAAGAGGTGCAAGAGGAGAGGAAGAGCGTATGAGGAAAGCAAATGTTGAAGCTTCTTCTTTTGCATATTCACAAGTTAGAGTCACCTTCTTCTCCACCACACTTACTAATATAGATTTCGTTTCTCCTGCAATCCAAACCAAAATAATACTTAAATATACCATCAACCTAAGCAGTGGCGGATCCAGAATTTTCGTTCAGGGGGTTCGAAAAATAAAAGTATAAACGTGTAAATAAGCCTTTAGAAATGGAAACATTGAATTCTTTTGGGTTTAAAACTAGACTTTTAGCACATTTTTTAAAGTAAAAAAAAAAACTTGAAAAAAAGAACTGAAAATTTAAAAAAACTGAAACTGAAAAGTAAAAAATAAAACGCTTTCATTGGGATTTGAACCAATGACGTACAACATAATTTTGGAGGTACTTGTCACTGCGCCATCGGTTTCTCTTTGTTATTTAGGGGGTTCAAAATATTTATATCTACAGAAATACAGAAAATTTACCTTATATATATCGTGTAATTTTTTGCCGAGGGGGTTCAGGTGAACCCGGGATACAACGTGGATCCGCCCCTGAACCTAAGCCTGCCAAGTTTTGATAAATATACGTATGTACTATCAAAAATAATTTTAAAATATTTATCTTTTATTTCTCATTATATTTTTATGTTGACCCTTCTTTTTAACAAACAGGCACATGACCAGATTAAAATTAAAATAAATAACACTTTACTAACTCATTAATTTAACATTTCCCCAAGTGTGGGAATGGGTTAAATGGGTGGGTTTGAAAAGTGAATCGAAAAGAGACAAATTTATGAAAGAATTGAAATTAATTACTCTATAATAGTATAATTTGATTTGACACAAAATTTAAGAAAATAGAGAAACATACGAAAAAGGAAATAGTTCATTTTATCTTTAAAACGGAGAGAATATATGAAGAGTTGGTAATCGAATTAAGATGAGATTTTATTAAAGGCATTAATATTCTGCTTTAAAGAGAGGATAAATGTGATACCATATTTAGTTGTAGAGGCTAAGGGATTTGAAAAAAGTTTCATCAATTTGGGGAAAATAGTACATAATGGAGAAATTTTTTAAAACTTGCAATATTATCATTTGTACAAGTATAAGTAGACCTCTCCAATGGCAGAGGTTGACGAGGAATGGATTGCATTCGCTTGCGGCATGCCAAGTGTGATAGAGCTCCACTTAAAACGGAGATCTTTGTGAACGGCCTAAAATACCCTTCAACTATGTAAATTGGTACAAAATTATTATTATTCTACCGGGCCTAAAATGTACTTGACGTCAACCTTTTGACTGTATTCTGCTCTCATCTTTAACAACCTAATAAATTCACTAATGACGTGTCACTATTTTATTAGCTACTAAAAAAAATTATTAGCTACCATAATAATTAATTTAACTAATTAAAAAAGAGCAACTTTCACATATAGCAAACACAAAAATCATATTTGTATGCTATAGTTATAGTTTTCATAATTGTGTTTCATAGCAAACATAAATATGTATATTTCGCTAGACATATATAAAAAAAAGCAGTTGTATATAATATGTTATGTTTCGGTATACATATACAAAAGATCAATTGTATAATATGTGTTTGAATAAAGCGAGAAAGAGAGAAAGGCAAAAGAGAACTAGGCAGAGGAATATTTGTATTGTATAATTATAAGTGTATATGACGAAGATATATGTATTTGCATGTGTATATACAATTTTCTCTTGCTTTATACAAACAGAAACGCAATTTATACATTATGTTTGTATAAGCGAGAGAGGCGAGGGAGAGACTAGCGAGTGAGATCTGGGAGAGGAGAGAGAGGGGAACGAAAATATATGTATATTATGGCTGGCAACGGAACCGGAACCGAGACGACCGGTCCGGGACGGATCGGAACCGAAACGGAACCGGTCACCACAGGCCGGAACCGTACCGGAACCTGGATGGACCGGAACCGGTAATTCCGGAAAAAAATATGGCATACCCGTCCCGGACCGGAAATTGGGTCCCAACGGATATAATTTTTTTAAAAAAATTATTAAAATTACAAAATTCGGAACATTAATCAAATAATATTAAAACTTTTATAATTTTAAAGTTAAAAATTTATACTTTTAAAGTTTTAAATAAAAACTTTCAAAGTTTAAAAGTATAGAAATTTTAATTTCACCCTTTAAAAGTTTGAAAATTTAAATAATAAAATTCAAACTTTAAAACTATAAAAGTTTAAATTTCACACTTAAAAAGTTTGAAATTTAAATTCAAACTTTAAAACTATAAAAATTTAAATTTCACCCTTTAAAAGTTTGAAAATTTAAATTCAAACTTTAAAACTATAAAAGTTTAAATTTCACCCTTTAAAAGTTTGAAAATTTAAATTCAAATTTCAAACTTTAAAACTATAAAAGTTTAAATTTCACCCTTTAAAAGTTTGAAAATTTAAATTCAAATTTCAAACTTTAAAACTATAAAAGTTTAAATTTCACCCTTTAAAAGTTTGAAAATTTAAATTCAAACTTTAAAACTATAAAACTATAAATTTCACCCTTTAAAAGTTTGAAAATTTAAATTCAAATTTCAAACTTTAAAACTATAAAAGTTTAAATTTCACCCTTTAAAAGTTTAAAAATTTAAATTCAAACTTTAAAACTATAAAACTATAAATTTCACCCTTTAAAAGTTTGAAAATTTAAATTCAAATTTCAAGCTTTAAAACTATAAAAGTTTAAATTTCACCCTTTAAAAGTTTGAAAATTTAAATTCAAACTTTAAAACTATAAAAGTTTAAATTTCACACTTTAAAAGTTTGAAAATATAAATTCAAGAGTCAAGACAATAATAAAAAAAAATTAAGGCGAATAGCCTATACTTTTATTAATATTAATTAAATAGTACAAGTTGAATCACAAAATATTAGTACAATATTAAAAAATTTAATCTACATAGCCACCTTCTAGGAAGGGTTCTGTTTGAATTAGATCTCGAATTATTATACTCATACTAATAGACATTTAAATTTAATAGTTCATGCTACCAAGAAAATCTTTTTTTAAATCATTTAACATTTCTCTAGTAACATGCTCTGGAATTGGTTGATTAGCTAGTTCTTCCATTGCATCAATGTTGTCGTTACTAAAATCTTGCATTATTTCATCAACGTCATTTTCAAATTTGGTCGGTAAAGGTGGACGACC